TACAGATTCGCTTACCATTTTAGGCTTGGCTTGCACAGCTATGAAGAATATCATAACCTGCTCTGTATATTAGGTCTGGTCATCATAATCCTGGTTCTTCACTATAATAGGCTTTACTGCCTACCTGCTGTTATTATTTTTCTCTAAGAATGGCCTACTAGTAGTAGAGAACATCATAATCTTAGAGCAGCAGTTGCTTTAATGTTATTTGTAGAAGAACTTATTGAAAAGAAGTTTTTTGGTGTTGAGTAGAGTTGTTGAGTGTTTCTTTTTGAGAGGTAGAATTGTCAGAGCTGTTATCCTGAATAGTGAAGATTGAATTTTTTTCTTTATTTTTAGTTTCAGTTTCATTTTTAGGTTGTATAAAAAGCATATTATTGTATTGAATAAGAATAAAAATATTAAGATATTTAATTAAAGATTTTTTGTTTCTGGATAATAAAATTTGGCATAGTTGATTCTTGTTTGTTTAATAAATATTTTAAATTGAGAGTGAATTTCATAAAAGGTAATTATTCAAGCTAATGTGTGTACATTAGAAGTGGAGGTTTAATTTTTTCAAGAGCTTTTTCTTTAGATAGCTCTTGAATTCCATCATTTTCAGCTGCTGTATGTAAATATTTTTTCAAATATTAATAGAAATAATAAGTAACTTAGGCCACTTCACTATTAACATTATTAAATGATGTGAAGCTTTCTTCAGTTGGTATAGCTAATTTTATTAATTCAGTTATAGGTGTTAGTTTTGAAAAGATTGCTGCTAGTTCTTGGTTTGGTTGAAATAATTTATAATCTAATGAAGAGTATTTCCATTCTTTTGATTTGGTTTCTAATACTAGATGAGATTTAAATAATTGTGAAAAGTAAAAATTGGAGATATTTTCAAGAGAGTGTTCTGTATTGTCAGATAATAGGTTACATAATTTGCTATGATATTATGAAAATGATGAAGTGCTGCTTTGAAAGTAGCTTTAGAGTGATCTTGAAGTGTATGTAACATGTTAGGAAGTGAATAAGTTTCTGGTAAGTGCTTTTTGCAATCTTCAACAAGTTTTTGAGATATTAACATTTTAATGTAATTGCTTGTTTTTTGTTAATTGATTTTTTTAAATTGAATTTTATATTTTCTAAAAAAATTTAAGAAACATGTTTCATATGTTTTAGTATGGAGTTTAAGTAAAAGAATTTTGAAATCATTTTCAAATTTTTTGTCAGAAATGTTTAGCTTGACTTTAATATTAATCCTATTGTCATTTTGTATATCAAAAAGTAGCTCATCTGTATTGTAATCAATATCAAAATTTAGAGTAAAGTGTAATAGCTTAATGTTGAGTTTTTTTATAAAATTTTCGAAATTAATAGTTTTATAAGTATTATTTAAATATAAATAGAGACATGCTATATTGATGGTAACTTTTTTTCTGTTGTTAGCTAAATATAGTAGGATATAATAATATGATTAGAAGATATATAAGTAGTCTAATTGGATAAATAGTACTGTTGTAAATTTAGCAATTAAACCTTTAAGAGTTTCAACTAAGGCTTTAAAAAGAATAGGCTTAAATTGATCAAATTCAGGATTAGCTTCAAGAATGAAATCAGTTAGGAATTTTGGTTTGTTATTAGTCATTTTGTTAAGTATATAATTAATGAGCATTTAGCAGATTGTCTGTTGTTAAGTTTTGTGTTTGTTAGTTCAATAGAAATAATTTGACCTAAGTTAAAGTTTATAAGATGTGATTTTAAAAGTAAGAAGACTTAGAGTGCTAATGGTGTACTTAGTTTACTATTTCTCTGCATTTCAGAAATAATAGAATAGTTTAAAAGCTAATCAAAGTCATTTTCTATATTATGATTTTGTGAGATTTCTTTTTCTTTTCCTTTTTGTTAGTCTTTTGGTTTTTCATTAGTATTGCTTGAGTCTTTGTTTGTTTTGTTATTTTTGGTCTAATTTTTATTTTTGAGTTCATTGATAGATTTGGTTTTTTTAGGCAATCTTGCAATAAATTTTTTGAAAAATATACATTTTTCTTTAGCAGTTAGTTGCAAGCACTTAATTTTATAATATAAGTTATGCTGTTTCCAATTTATAGGTTTAAAAAGGGTTGGATATTTAAGTTTAAGAGTATGAATACAGTATGTATATGCAGGAAAACATCCTTTACTTGTTGTAAAGATTAAAGCTTGTGAATCTAAGGAGTGTTTATTGTCATTAAGAATAATGCAAGATATATTTTTAGTTTTGTATATAATGCATATATATGCATGATGTGAAAATGGTTTGAAGGAAATAGGCTCAGTAGAGGTTTTTCTAATATTACTACAGAAAGTGGAAAATGGATGAGTAATCTCATGTTTAGGTTAGAATTTGGATTTTTGAAGACTTTTAAGAGATTTGAATAATTTGATATTGAAATTAATTTCTATAAAATTAGATGTATTTGAGATGTTTTTTAGAATAGCTTAAGAAAGTAATAAAATAGTAATGTGGTGTGAGGCAAAATAGATATGATATTTTTTGCAAAGACAGATAGTAATAACTAGTTCAGTTGGTTTAGCAAAAAAATAGAACCTGTTTTTTAGGTCACATGTTGTTGTAATAAAGTTAATTAGTAGAACTTTAAGAGTTTGAACATTATTATTATGAGTAACAGAACTGAACCTGTTACTAAATTTAGAAAGATAATTATCAAGATCAAAGGAATCAGGTTCAACATTGATAATGCTTGGCATTTTGTGTAATTATCTTTTAGAGTAATAATAACGAAGTTCAAATAGTATGAACTATTTGTATAATATTATTTTAATAAAAAATTTATTAAATATCCAGACTTCCAGACCATTTAGAGATGATCTAAGAAGTGTGGTATGTTTGTAAAAGCTAATTGGAAGTTTAGAAAATTTTAATGGGTACCAAAAAAGTGAAAAATCTGGGACAACCTAGCAGATTATCCTAAAATGCCAATGAAAAACCTGTAAAGACAGGTTTTAGTTTTTGTCTTTTTTTTGTATCTTGGTAAAGTTTTGTTTGTTTATAATGAATTATATATCAAAATGACTGACTCAGGGTGCTTAATATTTTTCTAATAGGTAGCAAGATATATTTACTTAATAAAATATTTAGAAAATTAACAAAAACTAGAATTTTGGTTTTTGGAACTTTTTTCAGTGACCAAGTATTATAAAGACTTAAAACTTGGCCACATAGAAGAAGAAAAGTGTGCTTAGCAACTTTACTTAAGGGAACAAGTAAGGTTTACTTAATAAGATATTAAGAAATAATTAAATGTTTTTAGTAAAATTTTAGTACAAGTGATCTATGGAAAGAGTTACAGAATTGGTCTCCTTAGAAATAAAAGTTAATTAGAATTAAGTTATATGTACTAAAATTAATACTTTATTAAAATTATTCTGATCTTGTAATTTTAAATCAGAATTATATAATTTTGTACTTATTAGAACTGTTTTAGTAAGCTAAATCTAATAGTAATTATTTTATCTAATTAGTTTAGTACATCAAAAGTTATAATTAAAAAATATATAAAATTCTTAATATTTATAGTATTATATATGGCACTCTTTAAAAAAAAGAATTTAATAAAATAGAAATAAGAAAAATGCTAATTAAAGGTCTAATTTCAAAAGCAATACAAAACAGATTAGTATAACTTATAAGTATAAGAACAAGACAACAGTTTAAAGCATAGTAGCAAAAACAATTAAATCACTTTTTTAAGTAGTTTGAAGAATATGATATAAAAAAATTAATAAATAGAACAAAGAGTAAGAATAATAGACAAAACAAAGATAGAATCTTACAAAAAAAATCTAAGCAAAAAAAAAAATACTAATTAGCAAGAGATAAAAGAAGAAAAAAAAAACAAAAGAAAAAAAATAAATTTAAAAAGTTAGAAAAACAATATAAAAACTTGTTATAGAAGAAAGAAAACCCTACTATTATAAATTTTAATTAGTCAGACAAATAGCTTACTTTTGCTTGAAATAATGTAGTAGATTGTATTTAGTATAACAATTCTTGAAAGAACTACTCTAGAATTCCCTATTCATAAGGTAGCTGTTAGGTTATTTGCGTAATGTAGGGCATTACTACACTCGAAAGAGGCATTGGATTTGGTGAGTATATAAGGTAGATATTCTTTATTATGTCCTGTGTGTTCTCCCTATTCTTACATTTAAAATGCATTACTTATATACTTTTTTTAATATGCTATATATACTAACTATACTATCTATGCTATATGTACTATCTACGCTATATATACTAATTATGCTACATACATTATATCTACTAATTACACTAAATATCCTTTATTTGCTAATTACACTAAATACCCTATATCTGCTAATTACGCTAAATACCCTATATCTGCTAATTATGCTACATATATGCTATACTACTGTTTAATTATATAATCATCTTTAATAAATTATTGACAATCCTATTCTGGATCGTGACATTTCTCCTCATTTTAATATATTCATTTCACGAATTAGACAAGTTTTGCAGGTTTTCAGTAGATTGGTACAGTGAGGACATGACATTTACAACTTGCAGGATGGCTAATAGTAGATCGCTAATTATTTTACTAAGAGTACTTATGACTTTAATTTTTTTTATTTTTATTTTTTTATTTTTTTTTTTGATTTACTAATTGCTAATTATTTTCTTATTAGGAATTTTTCACCAGGGCTGAATATCTTGAAGGCTATTTGACATACTGATAAGTATCAGGTGATACCTTTTGTTTCGATAGTGAATCTCCTTCTAATTTCTAACTACAGTTTTTTTTTTCTTTAGGTCTACCATTCGAAATCAGGTTTATTATTTTGGGGTTCAGTAGCAATACTCATGTCGGTTCAGTGTTGTGCACAGTAACCTTGGCAATTTCTTTTTTTTTCGCCTTTAGGTCCTTGATCACATGTTTCTGAGTAAGTTTAGCTATGCTTTATTGTCCTTTTTGCTTATCTACTTTTTCTTTTCATTTATCACAGTTCTCAAAAAGACTTTCAAAAGGCATTGATCTGCTTGTCAGCTCATGAACTGGCGGTTTATTCTTCCCTGGATTCTGGTTGACCTTATCAGCTTTTTGTAAAATTCCAATTCGTTTGTCATTTTCAATTCCAGTATGTTCATTCTTTTCAACACCATTTTGTTTAGCTTTTTCAACCTTATTTCATTCATCTTTTTTGACTTCATTTTTTCATATTTCTCAACTCCAATTCATTCAGCTTTTTCAACTCCAATATGTTTGGCTTTTTCAGCTCCACTACATTTGACTTTTTTAGCTCGAATTCCATTTTTATAGCAATGACCATTATTATATTGGGCATTTGCATTTCCATTTTCATAGAGATAACCAACATTAGATGCTCTATTAAAATCAACCATATCTGTAGATTTTTGATAATAACCAAAAGCTTTGTGTTCATCTTTGTTGACACTAATTCGCTTGTCTTTTTCAATTCCAATACCATTTTCATAACAACAGCTGACATTATATATTCTATTAATATTCCTAACTCAGAAGCTTTTTGAGAATATTCGAATGTCTTGCATTCGTTATCTTCAGCTTCTGTTCTTTCTTTGTAACAATAGCCAACATTACATGTTCTTTTAACATTCCTCATCTCAGTGGGTTTATAATAGCCAACATTATATATTTTTTTAATGTTCCCCATCTCAGTGGGTTCACAATAACCAACGAATGCCATATGTTTAGATAAATCATCACTTTTAGCCAATTTTGAGTACCACTTGAACACTTCATTTTCTGATTTACTAATCTCTTTTTTCTTTTCTTACACACTTTTTGTGTTATTTGGGTTTCAGGCCCTTCCTTTTGCCAATCGTCTTACTTGCTTCTTTATTTCGAGAGTATTAGGCAGGCATCTTTTCCCCAAGGTATGTGTTTCTTGTTTCATTTCTTCTTTTAACCAATGGGGTTTCTTTCTTCTGACTTCATTCACAATTTCCTGATAGAATTTCACAAGCAACTTGAATTCCTAGAACTCTTCTTCACCCATTTTGGCATTCTGGATCTTTCTGCTTGCTTTCTCTATGAAACTTTTAACATATTTGGTAAGTCATATAAAATTTCCTTTGTCTAATTGCATTTTTTTTTTTTTTTTGTTATTTATTTACTATATTTATTTTATATTGTTATTATATATTTTGTATAGTTGCCAATTACTAATCTAAAAGCTTGATTGTAGATCCTGTCAATATGTTGTAATCCTTAGGCTTTAAGCTTCAGTAAGTAATATATTTTTAATTTATTTTAGTTCTTTATGAAGTAATTAATTTTCAGATCAAAATTTGAGTAGGCAAAATTTTCTAGGGGTACAATCGTTGGGGTTCTAAGGTTTTTGCACTTTCGCTAGATAAGTACTTTCTTTAACTTTTTGTTGTGTTTTTTTGATTTTTTTTTTGATATTAACACTTATCTTTTTCTTGGTTGCCAGAATACTGAAACCTGGGCTGGATTCTGTTCTTCAGATTTCAGGTAAAGTATTACTTTTTTTTTTTTTTTTTTTGCCTTGTTATTAACTTTCTAATGGAATTTTCTTTTCCTTCTTTCTTCAATTTTTGGTAAGTACATCTATCATGGGTTATTTGCTTCTTGCCGATATGTTGGCCAGTTTTTCTCCTGGTAGTTTTTCTTCTTCTTTTTTTCTTTCTTGTTCTCTTATCAGCATTAACTTTTCTTCACTTTATTTTTTTTTTTTGATACAGTACATTAGTCTTGGTGATGTAACCCAAAAATTATGTGGCTTTTCAGACTCAGTACATTGGCCCAAGCTTGTTTGTTCCTTTATGGTATGTATGGTTTTCTAATTTTTTTTTTTTATATATACCGATACTAACAGTTTTTTTTTTTTTTTTTTTGTAATATTGGCCTCTTCCTTCACTTGGTATGTCAGTGAGGTCTTGATCTAGCAGTTCTTTGGACTCGGTACATTGGTCTGAGTAACAATCTTTTCTTGCCAGTACATTGGCTTTTGTTCTTCACATAGTGCATTGATGAGGTTTAGATTTGGCGATGTTTTTTTGAACTCGGTATGTTGGTCCAGGTGACTCTTTTCTTCTTGTCAGTACATTGGCTTTTGTTCATATAGTATGTTAGTAAGTTTTCTATTTGATATTTCCTGTCTTGTTTCTTATTGTCCTTCTAATTTGATTTTTTTTGTTTTTTAAATCGGGGGAGAGGTACAGACAGATCTTACAGTCACCACCAAATGTAACGATTCTTGATAGAACTACTCTAGAATTCTCTATTCATAGAGTAGCCATTAGGTCGTTTGTGTAATGTAGGGCATTACTACACTCAAAAGAGGTGTTGAATTTGGCAAGTGTATAAGGTGGATATTCTTTATTATGTCCTGTGTATTCTTTCTATTCTTATATTTAAAATGCATTATTTATATACTTTTTCTAATATGTTATATATACTAACTATACTATCTATGCTATATGCACTATTTATGCTATATACACTAATTATGCTACATACATTATATTTACTAATTACACTAAATACCTTATATCTGCTAATTACGCTAAATATCCTATATCTGCTAATTACGCTAAATATCTATATCTGCTAATTACGCTACATATATGCTATACTACTGTTTAATTATGTAATCATCTTTAATAAATTATTGATAATTCTATTCTGGATTGTGACATTAGTCATTATTAAAGTGACTATATAATGCTAAGCTTAGTTGTTAAATATAATTTATAATTAAATATATTTTTTATAAAAAATAAAAACAACAAAAAAAATGCAATGTATTATAAAAAAAATAATACAAAAAAAATATAATAATAAAATATATAATAAATAAACTGCTAATTTTAAAAGAATTTAATAAAAGAAATTCAAATTTATATATAGTTTTTTTTAGAAAAATATAAATAAAAAAATAAAAATAAGAAAAACATTAATTAAAATATTACTTTTTAAAAAATATAATACAAACTATTTAGCTTTTAAATATAATATCAAGATATTAGTTTGCAAATACAATGTCAAAAACAGTTTAGTATAAATTTTATAAATAAATATAAAAAACTCAATATAAAAAAACTAATAAGTAAAAAAAAAAATAATAATAAACAAAATAAAAAAAAAAACTAATAGAAGAAAAATTAAATAAAAAATAAATCAATAAGAAATAAAAAGTAAAGAAGAACACAAAAGGAAAAAATAAATCTAAAAATAAACTAGAAAGATAATGTTATAACTTATTATAAAAAAGAAAAACTATTCTATTATAATATTTAAGTAATCAGACAAGTAGTTTACTTTTGTTTAAAATAGTATAGCAGATTGTACTTAGATACTATTAAAATAGTTAATAATATTAAACTTAAATGTAAGATATTTCTATATAATTGAAAAAATAATTTTAAGAATCTTAATAAAACACTAGTATAATTGCTTAAAAAAACAATAAATTATATTAAATTTTAAATTATTAGTAGTTTAAATATAATTTAATTATTTATTAAAATAAAAAATTTTGAAAAATTAGATTTAATTTTGTAAAATATATAATATAATTTTTTAAAATTAAATATTAAAACTTTATTAAAGTTAAAAACAGTAATATTATTAATAAATTAAATATTTTATTTATAAGTTATTATATATAATAATTTATTATAACTTAATTTTTATTATAATTTTTAATATATAATAATATTATTGTAAGATTTTAGATTCTATAAAAGCTTTCAAATTTTTACAAACAAGATCAATAGTTCAAATTAAATTGAAGTTAATTTTGTTTTTATAACTTATTAAAATTATTAATTAGATACAAAGTTTTATAGAAAAGTTTAAGTGCAGATAGTGCAGATATAAATTTGAAGTAAAGAAATTTTTTAAAAAAAATCTAATTGTAAAATATAGGCACTATGTATAGTAATATTGTTACAAAAAATTATAGCTATAAACAAATTATGCATATAAGTTTTTAAGTTTAATGTAGTATTAACATCTTTATATTTTAATTTTTTTTAAAATATTAAGTTAAATACTTATGATTCAGGATTTTATTAATAGTATATTTGGCTAATGCTTGCATTACAAACATAGATAGCAACTATGAAATAAGTGTGCAACTAGCTACTTATACAACTTTAGTTATTGTCAAATTTAAGTAGTTTATTTAAAGGTACTACACTAGTTGCCTTATCTGGAACTTACTTGTAGATTCTCTATTTAAACACTTTGGATCTTGTATCTACTTATCTATCTTTGTTTATCAATGATCCTGGCTAATGTTAATAAAAATATGTCATAATTACTAAGTCTTTAAAGCAGTTTACTTATATAGAGAACCTTTGACCTTATATTAAACCTTTCAAAATCTTCTGTATTTCATTCTTATAGCTGATCTAGTATCACTATAGTTGAGATTAATACTAGCAACTAGGGCATATCATTAAACTGCTATGTCTTTATAGAGTTTACTTCAACTCTAATACGATTTCACAATATATCTCTACTACTTTGGTATTTAATTCAAGTTCTACCAAGCTTTCAAACCAGATAGCCCAAAAAAGTAGATCATAACTATACCTCTGGTTTATATGTTCTTTAACATGTAACCTTTTTTTTGAAATCTGAAAATTTTAGCAACCTGTTTGGTTTTATTCAGTCTCTTCTTAAAGACTGGTTTTTTTATTTAACTTTACAAGTTTTAGCTCTGTTCATAGGTCTAGTCTTTATAGTAATATCATTAAAAGTTCAGATTACCTCTTTACTTAGGTCTTCCAAGTAGGCTTCTGTCTTTCTATCTGATTTCTGTAATTTATACAACCTAAGCTCTAATACTGGTTTGTGTTCTTTTGTATAATTTTGTACAAATGCCTAGACCTTTCAGTCATGCTAGTATAACATAGGTTACAGATATTTAATTCTAACTAATTACAGAAGACAGTTAATTATAATATAGAAAGAATAGCAAATTTGCACTATTACTTCAATTTGAACTTTAGATCAGTCACTTGAAAGTTGACAAACTATTTACTTCACTAGATCATTACACCTATCTTTACACTTTATAATTTAAATATTACTAACATCTTTATATTTAATTTGTAAAATACTTGCTTGGAAAAAATAATTAATAGATTGTATAAATAAGTTCTAATTAGAATTTAAAAAAAAAGATTTAGTTAAAAAAGTAATTTAAAAATAATTAAAGCTAAAATAGTAAGTAAACTAGGTAAATGCATAGCATTTTATATTTAAAACAAGTATTAAATTGCAAATTATATTACATTTACTATACTATTGTAAGCCATAGGACTGTAATTTTGAAAAAAGAAATCAAATAGCACAGAATGGCTATGATGATCATCTATCTTAAATAGGTTTACTGGCAGTATATACTGTATTCATTATATACTTAATGTTAGGTGGATAATTGATATCAATAGAATAAGAAGAATTAGCAGAACCAAAAGTATAATTAAAATAATCAACATCATCAGTATAATTAGCATAAACATTATAAGTAGTATAAGCAGTATATTACAAATAAAGGATATAATGTGTTCTATATAAATGAAAGTATATAATAAAGGCTTCAAGCTCTCCAAGAACAGTTGAGTTAGTGCTTATCATAAAATTCATTCCCTAATAATAATATTCTACTGTCATTATAATAAAACCTATGATTATAATATACCACTTGCCAACTAAGTTATTTATAGGTTACATGACATACCCATTTAAGAAGTGACAAACACAATGATGCCAGTTCAATGGTGTTACTATATTTATATATTACAATTTGATTGAATGGTAGTTACATTATGTGGCCAGACAAACAAACCTTGCATATTACTCTTTACAGAATAATATAGTGTTCTTCACTATGCTCTGAACAAAATAGTAAATATAAAAATAGTTTGTAATAAAAGATTAGTTTAATCAAAATTAGAAATATCTTTAATATAGCTGAATAATTTAATTATAGAAAAAAAATCTTAGAAGTTAGTGTATAATTTTTTTGTATAAAAAAAAGATATCAAATCAGTTTCTGGTTATACTTATATAAAAGTTTATGATAAACAAAACTAAGATTAACCAATTAATATAAAATAAGATTTGCAAAATAGTATAACATTATAAGTCAGTATAACTCTTTGTATATAATTAGAATTGTTTTGCAAATATGTATTATTAAATAAACTAAAAACTTATAATATATTATAATATAATATTACTATAATCAAAATAATTTTTTAGATATAATTAGAATTATTTTGTTTCTAATTATAATAAACTTTAATCCTTATTATAGAAGGAAACAACTTGTTAAAAATTAAATATAATATTAAGTTATTATATGATGCTAAGATTTGAGGCAACTTCAAGAATAATAGCAACAAACCTGGTTTGAATACAGATTTATCAAAAGACTAATAATAATAGTAGATTTGACTTAAGATATAAGTACTTTGTAAATTCTGAATTATTGTTAAAACATCCTAGAAAAATTAATAATAAATATACTAAAGATAAAAGATTATAAGAATTAAACATATTTAAATAAAACCAATTTAAAAATAATACAATAATAAAAAAATGAGAAATGTAGTAACAAGTTATTACTAGATATAGTTAAATTAAGAGGTAGAAGAAATAAGATCAAATAAAACATATAGGTAAGACATATAAATATAATTACAAAAGGCAGTATTCTTAGCATTCAGAATACTGTATTAAGTTTTGGAGATATTTTTGTCTATATTATAATTTAATAGTACATCCTGATTACAAATAGTTGCCAATATAACTGCATATAAACATGTAGTAAACATGGACTTAGGTGCCATATAGGCAATCAGATAAAGTTAGTATAGTAAAATTAGAATAGCTAATAAAGTACTAGTAATAATTTTGTAAATATAACCTCAAATTGTACTATGTATATCAAATTTAGAACCTAATAAGCCAACTAGCAGTGTTATCAAGTTCCAAAAAAACTATTATTTTATATTACTTATAAATTTATTTTTTAAGTTTTAATAAAAAACTTTTTATAAAATTTTATCATAGATATTATTTTTTTTATCTCAAATACTATTTTAATTTTAATTATAAAAATTGTTTATATTAAAATTATAAGTAATAATAATCTATAATAAAAATTAGTTATTTTAAAAAAAATATTTAATTATATACAAAAATTTGTATATAAGTGCTAGAAAAAATATATATTTATTTTTTTAGTAAATTATTAATTATTTATCTAATTTAGCTTTTCTAAACTGATACATATTAGATTTATTTTTCTATTTAAGCAGTTTTGCTGGTTAACATTTTATTAAAGTTTTATATTTCTAAAGTATTATTATTTTTACCTTTCACTTTTGCTAATTCCATCCTTTATGGGTTTTCAACCTTTTCTAACTCTAATCAGACAACTATATTATACAAATAAAGATTATTTGATCAAAAGTTTTATAGGTTGAAACTTCAAAAATATATAAGATCATGTTATTTATATTTATGTAACATATTATGTAAAGTTAGAAGATGACTGAAGATTGGCTAGATCATGTAAAAAGTGGCATTAGTAAAAATAAAAGGTGGAAATAGTTATTCTCTATTTCTATGCAAAAATATTTTTAAAATTCATATATATAAGCTAATTTCTTTTAAAAAGATTTGATTTACAAACATATCTAATGATCACCATGTATTTAGAAATGAAAAAATTCTTTCACGCTTAGCTTTGGCTTTACAATACTTTTTAGGGGATTATTACTTCTATGAAACGTGACTAAAATTTCTAAGTGAACTTGAAACTTTCGCACTATATTTTAACAAAATCGGGGGATTCAAAAGGATTCAGATAATTTAATCAACCCAATAAAAAATCCTGCAAAACAGTGAAAAATACAAAAGATCTAGGGAATAGATATGAAATACCGTCGATATTTGTAATGTTTTTTATGATTACGGTAAGTATTCTGCTCACTACACATATGACAAAATAAGCTCGCATGTAAAACCACATGTAGCATTAATTAAATCATGAGAAAAAGCAAGTTATATTGTGTATTGAATACACATGGATATGTAAGCCTCGTGATGAAATGATACGTGAAAAATGAATAACCTGTGATTAATAATACACACGGACAATCAGATCCAAGATTTTGTGGATTAAAAGCCATATAAATGTTCCTGGTACACTCATATACTTTTGTTTCTGGTACAACTTAACCTTAATTAATTGTATATATACATCAAATCAATTAGGTACCACAATGATAATAAAAATCAACTCAGGTTGCACCCTGTCCTAAAATTATTAATAATGCAAATTTGCTGTCGTATTGCATATCTATATTTGTACATTCGAGTAACGGTAACAAAAGGTTGTGTTTACACACGAACATATGTACGCACGTACGTAACAACAGATATATAATCATAGCAGATAGTACTATTGGTTCCATCATTATCATTATTTACAAGAAACTTAAAATAGTCGTATATCCTAAAGTGGAAGGGAAAATAACGATGATTTAAATTTAAAACATCGCTTTTGTTTTCTTACCAACGTATACATTTTTTTAATTCATTATATTAAAAAAAAACTAACTATAACAATAACATGGAAAACCTTACAGTCAAGCAATATTATAGCATAAATGACAGAGTAATTCAACAAAGCGATATTAATTCACCATGTCGATGGGATTTATCGATTATAACTAATTGCCAAGGAAGCATATATTTTTTTTGGATATATTACATTTCAATAGCAATATGCATTATTCTCATAGTTTCATCGTTAGTTATTTTAATTTACAAAGTATCTTGGAATAGTAATCTAATATCAAACTTAGGACCTATTAAAGGATTTCTGATTTGGATGATCTTACATGGAGCATGTATGTGTATTAAATGTATGCTTTAAATATTTAATTTCTATAACAGATAATAATAATATTTTTTTTTTCAGTTCGAACTGTTTCAATGTTAATAATAACGAATGATTGGTTACATGATAATTATATTATAAAATCGATTATTAGTATTTTCGGTTGGTCATTTGGATGCATTGTTGCAGCAACTTATTTAGTTAGCATGTAAACTTTCTTTTATATAAAATAATTTGTTTATACACATATAACTTCATAAATATAAACTTATCAAATTTTAATTTAGATTTAAAGTTCTTCCCCGATTGGCATTACATTCATACACTATCTTCAATGTCGAAGCAAATAATAATCTAATTGTTCATCAGTTTATACCGAACGACAACACAGTAATTAAAATCTATTGGGCATTCACAATTATTATGATCAGCACTAGTTTAATATTATCAATATTAAAAGGATATTTTCAAATGGTTGATAAAGAAACTTTATTTAGTATAGTTCAAACTATCATACTAATAGAATACTGCATTGTATATATATTAGGAGCTTTGTGTTTCATAAAATATGGAAGATTGGTCATTAAATTGCTTGATGAAAGTGCCAAGATAATGGGATTGGAAGACTTGAGATATTCAGAGAGTAAAGCTTCACGTTTAGAAGATTATCATACTTATTTAAATAAGGTATTTTTTGCTTTCTTTGTATTCCAAAACAAATTGATTAAATTCACTAATTATAAGATATATAATACGTAGCTCAAAGTTATGAATTTCAGCCTCTCCGTTATAGTTTGTTGGTTAGGGGTTATGGCCTTTTTTGTAGCCCTTTTCAGAAGTAAAATAGCTCAATACTTAGTGCTTTACATCATTCTAGCGATTATAAGTTTTGATGTAACTGCTATTATAATGTTAATCACGCTTTTTGGAATTGTTTATGGGTATGTTTTTTGATTATAAGATATATAAAAAATTATTTTGACAAAGTAACATAAAATCATTGGCTTCCTTATTCAACCAATTTTTTAATTTATAGTGAAATATATAAACGGCACAGTGCAATTGCAGAAGAAATTACTACTTCAATTAATTATTCATCTAACAATGGTTAATTTATACTATTGCAAGAAGAATTATTATTTGAACTTATGTCAAAACTAAAATAATTTATAAATAAATTAGTTGGTGCTTATTTATCACATCGATACCGATGGTTGGTCACAAATGGACATAGGAATTGGCCTAATACTAAGTCATTTCTAAATCGGCGAAATTTTAAGAATGACATGGGTCAATTTGGATCAACCTGAGTTGTGAACAAATATAAAACTTGTTTCAGGGCATCACACGAACCATATATTATTTTACTACACAAATTTAAAAACTCTAACATAACCGAACTTTAAAGAATTTGAAGACTATCACGTGAGCATGAAATTTTGTTGACGCACCTGGATTAGAGTGTCAAGGATTATGCAATGTGATTAGGTAAATTATGCGATTTTAGAGAGGTCAATTATGCAATGAATCCGAAAAATTTTAATTAAATAATATGGTTTTAAATTAGTTATGCGTTTTTTATAACCATCTTTAATAGTATTTATTTATAGATTAAAATTCAAAAATTAAACATTTTAATTGAATTTTCTGACAAAGCATGTCTAAAATTCGTTTATAAGCAGAAATACTGCGTTCTACATCTACTCCCAAAACCGGTAACCAGATATCACCCTATTGTATATAAGTATATAGTTAATCAACTCATATAATTAAATACTGTATAATGATAAGGAATCTTACAAATTTAAAAAACCCTTTTAATTAAAAATGAGTTAATGAATAAAATTGTACGTCACTGGCACCCTGCCAAAGGTTAAAAAAAAAATAGCCGAAATAGAAGGAATTCTGAACTGAGGACTAAAAAATTATTTGGTCCTTAGTAGTTTTGTTAGGCGAAACCTAAAGGTTTCGGCAAAAAAAAAAAAATTAAAATGCAGAAATGCAGAAATGCCGAAACTGGCGAAACTTCTAAAATGTAGCGAAACTAGAAACCAATAAAGGATGAGAAAATTTGTAAAAGAGGTTAGAATAGAAAGTAATCATAATACGTGCATAGTGTCATATATGATGCTTTTTGATCAATTATCCATATTTAATCTATTATAAGCTAATAATACAACAATCATTTCCTTAAAATTAGTTCTGAGATTTGGGGCCAGATAAAATAGAGCATCAGGAAATAATTTCTGATAATAACAAATTACTTACATATGTACAGTATTTAATTAAAGTTTTAACGATAAAAAGAAAAATTTAACAATAAATTTATTTAAATATTTAGATAAATTTATTTATATAAATAATATTAATACATAGATAAGCGCTACTAAAAGAAAACAGGATTTCAGGCTTTAAACTTTCAAGGCTGAAGTGATTTATTATAAGTTCAAAAGTCTGAATTCTAGTTTTCTTTGAATAGTACTCAAATACAACCGAAAGGCTATCGCTTTGTTTATTGCTTTTGTACATTTTTATATAAGCCGCATGCTGTGCTTAGTAGCCACAAAAAATATTTTAATTTACCAACATGCTTCAATCTTTCCAAAGTCTTAGAGAATTTAATATTCGTTAAGCTTGACCTTCTCCAGGGGTTTTAGCTTTACCAGGGGTTTCGCCTTACCAGGGGTTTCGCCAGAATTTATCCAGTTTCGACTTTCGCCAGATTCGACTTTCACCAGATTCGACTTTCACCATTTAACAACATAGTTTCGCCTAACTACAGTAGTCCTCAGTCTTTTATTGCCTGGTCTCTGTCTTCATGAAGACCGATTCGTCCCTAATTAATCCCCTAAATTCGTATACTACATATTTACTATATACTCAAAAAAAGGGTCCTGTTTAGAGAATTTTCGCTCACTCGATACAATTATTAAATTACTTAACCTTTGTTGAATATGGTACATTATTTGCTCGAAAACAAAATCAATATTATTGATGAGTATGACGCTTTTGAAACATTCTTTACGTAACAATGGTTTTTTTTTTAAAAAAACAATAATCATAACTTTCATTTTTAAAGTGTTTACAACAAGGTTTTATATCTTCATTCTGCAACGGATACTTTCATCAAAAAAAAAGAATATAGTCCTCCTCTTTAATCATGCTGCTTGTTTTACATAAAAAAATTTGTGATTATAAAAGTTTAGTAGCACCCACCATAAGTGCACTTTCTATAAGTGCACACCTTCTTTAAATGCACGCTTAAATTCGGACCCAAATATATCCATGACTTCCTTAAATGCACTTTTTCTTATTGTTCTCTAAGCGCATGTCGTTAATGCACTTATGGAGGTTTCACTTTATTATCAATAATTTTTCAAAAAATGGTGTCTATAAGGAGGATGTGATTACATAGGAGGTTGGTGTAGAGGAGGATGACTGTTATGAAGAAAATTAACCTCTGTATAAGCACTATCACTTTAGTCATTGAATTTTGGTTACCACCTGGTGATTATACCGAGGTCTAACTGTACTAGAATTAATTAAAAGTCTATAAAGTCCATAAGGACAAATAAGTTATTCCCTTTATTGAAAAAATGTGCATGTCGTCGGCAGTGACGCGTAATCAACTAATCATATCATGTGTACGTAATCATGATCCTGCAACCTAATTGGCACCGCCGGCGACAAATAGGTTCATTCTTTATTTCATATCCGCCCTTTTACAGAATTGGGACCTTATAATGTCATTAAAATATTCGCTGATCCGCAAATAAAATTATATAAGGTGTGAGCCAACTTTATATGATTGGCTAGTTATTGATTATTAATTACGTTCTCACATTAAATGATTAAATTTAAGCCTAAATAATTCCAAATTAACTTCTACCTCACTGACCAGTATAAATAAACCCATTAGATGTTATAGATATGAAATTATAATCTCAAAAAGTTGTTGGATTATACTCTCAATAAAATCCTAGCACTACAAACTTTGTATAAATATAATTTTATCAGAGTACTAATTTGATTCAGAAAATTTGGGGTATTCCGCAAATTGGTGGATATATTGATCGTAAAATTTTACTTATTCATATAATCGCTCATGCTAGGAGGAACAACCCTATCTTCGATTTCTTTATTATCTTCACCTTCTCCAATAACGCACCAAATTTTACTTGGTTCAGATCCCATCTGTATTTCCATTACTGCGCCTCCAGAAATGTCTTTATGTCTAAACCAGGTTTTTTCCCATTCTTTATTATTGATTTTAACATTTTGAATATATATATTCTCGTCCGTCAAATTATGAGCTATAATCGTAAATGTTTTTAATGGTGATGTTGAAAGGTATATGATAACCTTATCAAAAAACGGAGAGTTTATTAGGTATATATCGGTTCCACCTCTATAATGATAAAATCAAAATTATTGTGTTTTATAAATCTAATAAATTTTATTAAATATCCAACGTTTCAATTGTGTTAATAAAATGAAGTCACTTACAATGGAAATATTCCAATAGCATTAAAAGCATACCAACTTCCCATCGCACCAGAATCATCATTCCCTATAAAGCAAAAAAAAAAAAAAATTTCCATTTTATAAATATATTTTACTTAATAAAATTCAATATTACTAAAATGCACCAATAAATGTTTCTAATTAACCAAGGCCAGGTGTACAAATAAAAATGTTTAAATTCCAAAAAATCTTATGCTAACTAAAAATTGAACCTTATATCTGATTCCTGTCTTAGTCTGTAGTTGTACCTAACCCTAAATTTTAGCAACATCATAGGTGCATTTTATAATTTCTGATAAAATTCATATAAAACAAGAATGGTAAAACTTATGCAAAACAAAAGTGATGATATTTAACGAACATTTGGTTAATATCGTTCTTTTTATTTTCAATTCTACACACCTGGAATTCCATCCTGACCAACTCCAAATTTAGTCTTCATAATAGTTCTAATCACGTCCACGCTTTTATACTGTTTTCCAATAAAATGATATAAACATGTATGAAAAAAACTAGGTTCATTTCCTATATTATAATAGCCTCCTAAAAATGATTTATCTGCAAATGTTTTGTCAAGTCGATCTTCAAAATGTTCTGGGCCTCCTGATAACTGTATTAGCCTTTTCACATCTTATTTATTAATAAAAAAAAAAAGCAAAGAAGTAAGCTACATATCAAATTTTTACTTGATTCTAAAAAAAATGCTTACGCACCAAAAGGCACATCCAAACTATAATCCCATGAGGTGCTTTCATAAAACGAGTAAAAATCCATTACTAAATTATTGTCAGATGCCCATCCTGTATCGAATGTGCCATTTATAAATCTTGGTATTATGAATCCCTTCACTCCTTTTTATAATAAATTATCAGTGTGAAAATGTTAAATCTAAATTTATTTCGCTAGAAATCAAAGAGAAATTATAAAGGTGATAAATATTCACCATCATAAGTTATATCAGGACACCAAAGATTTTCCCAACTAGTCGCTCGATTTTTATATTTTATATAATCATTGATTTTACCTAATCCTTTAAAATTAAATTAAAAATATAAATATTTAAATCAACCATTTAACATTATGCATTAATAATAAATAGACTTAAGGTACCTTTAGCAACAAGACTAATGCTATAATCATTAGCACTATATTCTAAAGTTCTACTACATGGAGTGTTAATATATCCGAGGTTGCGATCATAAGGTGAAGGAATATAACCATATTTTTTATAATCGGTTAAGTGTAATCGACCTTGGAACAAACCATCTTCCCATGGATCTACTTCTGCATCTTTAAGCAAGGCTTCGTATGCTATATTCCAGTCTATTTTATCGTTTACATCTATTTGTTTTAAGTATGTTTCGGCCTATTATTAACGAAAGTAGTGTGAATCTATTAAGAAAATTCATGCAAATTAATTGAATGAAATGAAATTATGTACTTACAATAACCATATCAGCATTAGAACCACCTTGTGTAATTCCATTCGATGAACCACTTCTTCCATCAGGCATATAACCTACATTCTCATAAATGTCAATTAATGATCTAGCAATATCTACAGCACGATACGATTGGAAGAGTGTAAATAATGGGTTTGTTGTCCTATATATTAATTTATTAGTTTTACGCTTATTATACGTAAGTAGCATAAATAGTTTTAATAATATAGTAATTTGAAATTACCTGAAGGTATCCCACTATTGATCATATTTAAAAATTAACATTATTCTATGATCTTAAAGGCAAACAAAACGAAACCAAGCATACCAAAGTATAAAAATCTTCATAATATGGTACAAGTTTACCATTCTTATCGAATGATTTCCACATTGGATTTTCACCGGTTCTACATATATTATAGAATACATTATAATTATTATTCAACAACAATCATAAAACGTTATGAATAAACATTCATGAATCATTCATGCTAATAATTAACTAACCTGTCACTTGGAATTATCATAGTCCGATATAAACTACTATAAAATATCTTTTTAAGATTTTCATCATTACTTTCAACCTTAATTTTACCCAATTCATTATCCCAAGCATCAACAGCTTTTTGTTTTACAATTTCAAAATCCCAATCAGGTATTTCACTTTCAGCATTATCACAAGCCTGATCAGCTGAAATAAATGAAATTCCAACTCT